CCCCCCCCCCCCCCTTCCGGGAGGCTGAAACATGTGCCTACCTTAGTGTAGTTGAGATGCAATGTGTTAAAGCAGGGGCACTAAGAGCCAATATAAACTGGTTAAAGACGGCGATTGCGTTGTTTTTCTTGTGTTTTGAAATGATTTCCAGTCATTTTTTACTTAATTTTCGGGTTTTCAACTGAAAACTAATTTGCACACGTCATGAATTTAACTCAAACAACTTCATTTTACTGCACAGAATCTTTTGATGAGAAGATTAAGTTTCAAAACTCAATTCAAGATTGAGTTTTTGGGGCCGTTTTACGGTCCTAAAAAATCACTGAAAAAAACCCTGGCTTGCTACTAATATTATTGGCTGTTTAGGTTGATGGGTGTTATGTAGTGTGTATAGAACAATATGCCGTGAATTACAGATAATGTAATTTATTGTGATTAATAAAATGTGTTAAACATGATTCTTTTCAATTCTTCAAGGAATCTCCTTTATGTATATCCGCAAATCGTCAATTTTTCAAGCCGATCAGGACATGCACGAAACATCGCTGTGAAGGTTCAGTTTCTTTCAGGAGAGAATCCAAAAACTGCACCACTAGAGGTATGTATATATACGTATATATACTTATATATGCTCGATTTTGCTTTGATTGCTAGATTCGTAAATCAGTCAAATATCCAACGAATCAAGTACAAAACTGATTCATCAATCAATATTTTAACCAATCAGCAGACTCAACCGATCATTAAATTAACCAGGGTGCGATAATTCAAGATTTGCAGAATTATATTGAACTCTTCTATCAGTATTAACCTGCGGTGTCTGATAGAGCCAACAGACTGGTGTGGATTATAACGGTGGGCAATCGGTTAATTGCCGAATAATACATTTTGACCGATCAAACCAAATACTGCAAAAAGAATCAAAGCAAGAGAAGGAAACCCAAAACATTTTCTTGGATTTGCTGCGATGACAAGCAACAAAATCACGTCACAACTTTGTACTATCAGACATGCAGACAATTCGAAAACAATATTCGTGGGACTAAGGACTTTGGCACTGCTCACCAAAAGTCATTAGACAAGTAGTGTAACAATCTCGTACGAGACTGAGTATTGTGATCGATCATCACGGGCTATCAAATTAAAGTAAATATTGAAAAGCTGGCCGACCATTATTAGCCATTGTCCGAGCAACTGCTAAGTTGACTGGACATTAGTCAGACTCAAGTGAAATCTTTATAACCCACACTGCAATAGACCTTCCCCAACATAGCTTCTCAACCTCGTTCTAGGCCTTTTTTAAGTACATTTGCCGAATTGTGTTGAAATATGATTAAAAAAGCTGTGAAAACATCTAGAGCAAGGTGCTGTTGAACGTTCTTATGCTTTTGATAACCTTTTTTTATAGACTTCGTTTTGCTATGGTGTTTAATTCAAATGTTGTGTCGTTTTTTTTTGTGGATTGTTTTATTGTCCAAAATATGTGCTCGGAACGACTTTGTTCTGCTTAGACATCGAAGGAAATTGAGATATTTGTGTAGAAAATAGACTAACAAAATTACAAATTGTACATGAAGTGAGAGCTTAGAGAAAGGTCAACATTATAGATACTGTACGTTTATTCAAAACCAAACCACGCGAGTGGCCTGCATGCATGTTTGTGGCGCTATCTTGGGAAAGGTTTATTAATCTGGAAGCGCTCTTTTCACGTTCGACTGAGGCGAAAACACAATCAGAACGCTGAATATTGCAGAGATCGAATTCCGGTCGCAGTATTGAAAGGCACATGCACTGTGCCACAATACCCCGTTGAACTTAGCCCGCGTGCAGGCCCAAGAGAAGAATAGTAAGCAAGGCTCTGTATTTTGTAAAACGCCCCTTTTTATAACACGCCCCATTCGCGCGTCAATTGTCAAAAAAGAACCAATGACAGCAACCCAAATAGTAACAAACAAACTCGCATTAAAATGTTGCGAGGTTTTCTCTGCTTTAATATTCAAAATATAAACAATGTGTAAATGGCTGTGTTTTAACTCGAAAAAAGCAAGCAACGCAGTCAGTAATTGCCAAATTTGCAAGTGCTCATTTTCAACTAAAATCGGAACAGGCAAATTAGGACGAATTTCAACAGAAAACCAGTCTCAAAGTTCAAATCGTGAGGGAAGTCGTGCGACCACATTAGCATTAATGTGTGCTTCGCTGTCGCCATTGTTATAAATAAATTGTCTCACTTATCAGATCGTGTGTGCAATTCTTGTTGGCGGCGGCGGAAAGTACGAAATTTATTTCAGTTATTTCATTTGGTAAAGAACTTTACAGGAGAAGAGAGCGTTAAGAGTCCAGATCGTTTCGTTTCAAACGGCAATTACCGTCTTCTGCTTCGCTCTCTCAGCGAAGTCCTGCAAATCGCAAAGTGTTTCGAATAGGCTTATATGCAACTGCCTCTAAATCTTCACCGCGAAAAGCGCTGTTTTCTTCAGTGCTAGGACAGAGTCAACATCAACCAAAAGATAATTTTCTTGAGGAACATATAACATATCAAGTCTGTTTGAAATTTAATGAAACTCGAGTAAAGGTTACTATAGTTTACCCCAGTCGTAATGTTGCTATTCCAACACTTCACGACAAGCAATCCCCGTTGGCATAACGGCAAAAAATCTCTTCCTTCAAGTAAACAATAAACAGTCTGTTCTTGCTCCATTTTTAATCGAAAAAAGTGATCAATTTTCGAATTTTAAGCTTATCGAGAGCCTTTGTGATGAATCAGTGATCTAGTTATAGAATCAAACAGCAAACAGCCAATCAGAATGCCGCGTTCGTGGGCGAACGCGGAAAGTACAAAATACCGGGCCTTGCTTGCAGGCCCACTATTCTTCCCTTGGGCCTGCACGCGGGCTACGTTGAACTAACTTAATTAAACTAACAAACTGGACAAATAAACTAGACTATATGAAATTAACAAACATCGCAAGCAAAGTGCATCACAAGCAAAGTGCATCGCAAGCAAAGTGCATCTTTTCACGTACATGCGTTTCTTCCTATCGTCTGATGTTTTCGATTTTATTATTTCTTTAGTGTATATTTGGTAAATCAAGCTGTGCATCTTTCTCTAAATCAGCCTGGACATCGATAACGTATCACAACAAGTAAGTTCGTGCTGATATACATTCAGATAAATATAGCATTGTTATATAGTTAGCGCTTAACGCGAAATGTGATTGGCTGAATTGTGCTCACGTTGCTCCTTTGGGCAACAAGCAAAAATTGTTGTCCGTTCCGCCCGGCTACGTATACAAGGTAAACAGACAGAATGGAGCCGTGCGTTTTTATTTAAATAACGGTTTTCCAGTTTGTTAAATGAATATATACAGTATCTGACAGAGAAGAAAAAATGCACAATAAGCAGCCCTTTTAGAAGGGGTTTTTATTCAATAAAACCATTTTTAGTTTGCTTTCGTCGCTGTATAACAAAAACTTAATTTCTATAATAGTTTTGTTTGTGGAAGCACCACGTAAATTTATTACTGCAAAGCTTTCGATCCGTAAGCCTGGATCTTCATCAGTGCTAATAATATGTGCTAATAATATAATAATAATATCATATTATTAGCACTGATGAAGATCCGGGCTTATCGCCACGCAATGTATATGTGCTAATAATATAATAATAATATCATATTATTAGCACTGATGAAGATCCGGGCTTATCGCCACGCAATCATACAAAGAACTTAATTTCTGTTCCCTCGTGAAATATGATTAACTGGATCAGGTTGAGCTGGGTCCTTCGCAATTCAGCTTACAGATTACAGATAGATTACAGATATTGCACAGCACACTCCCTAATCCCTATCAGGGCTTTTCAGTGACTGGTTACACTGAGAAGATAGATAGAACCGGACTGACGTGAAGCAGACCGAGGTAGACGTTGGGCTTACAAATGGCGCTTGAGCAGCCGCTATTAGTCCATACCTCATTAATGGTCTGCCCCCTGACCTATCCTGTTTAACCCACCCTGTCAACTTTCCCTGTGGGAGGAAACCGGAGTACCCGGGGAAACCCACGACTTTCGGCAGAGCGTTGACTTTTTACTCTTTTCACATGAGGACTGGGTTCGAGCCACATTGAGAAGTTCTCATTGAGATTTGAACCTACGGCCTTAGAGGTGAAAGGCAAGTGCACTAACCACTTCGCCACCGAAGCCCCGCTCTCCAACTTAGCTCTCGGCTGCAAGTAAGGATGATTAGCACACCCCACTTGCTTGCTCGCTTACTTATGTATAGTTACGTAGTTTTGTTTTCCCTTGAATCTCAATGGTTGTCTCAATCTCAACATTGAATCTTTTTGGAAAACAAAATTATTTCCCTTGGGAGCAGACATTATATATCATATAAAGTGGCGCATACTATTACTAGTGTAAGGGATAATCCGTCTGGACAAACTGCACGGATTAAAGTTAATTCGTCTGTATATATAAACGCGGAAAACCGACGGATCATCCGTCCGAACTGTTTAAGTAGTTCCTTTGGCATGCACAGCATCTTGGTTATAATTCGGGCGATTAACTTAATATATATATACTGTATCAACAATCAATCTTGTTTGTGAATCGAGTTGGTGAATATACGTCTTGTCTTATAGAGTTCCAGATTTCAATGAAGAAATAAAACTTAAACTGCCAGCTCATTTAACTGAACAACATCACTTGTTGTTCACGTTTTATCACATCAGCTGTTCCGTGAAGAAAGGAGATGATCACAGTCCCGCTGAATTACCAATAGGGTACACCGTAAGTGAAGTTTAATTTTGGCGATAGTTCATTTCTAAGGGGCTGTTTACACGAGCCCGGGGGCGTCCAACTTCATACCAGTGCTCGAATTTTATCGCGCCAATCGCGGCAATTGCCGTAGAGGGAGAACAAAATGCCGTGGATCATTGCGGCAACGACGGCAATTTTTTGCCGTGTAGTATAATTTTTGCACTATTCACTGTGCATTACTATTTTGATACTTGAATTCAGATGTTGATCAATCGTAAAGAAAACACTAAAGAAATACGTAAACATGTTCCTAGCTTGTCGACAATCCAAATAACAATAAAATTGAATTTTTGTTACAGTAATTTGAAAAAATGCCGTGGAAGCTGCCAAAATTGCCGTAGACAGCTGTTACGTTCTACGGTAATTTTTAACGCCATTGCCGTCGATTATTCAGGCTACCGTCGATTGATTTCAGGGAAATTCGAGGCCTGCTTCATACTAATTTCCTTTTTACCCATTATAAGTTGCATTGCACCCGAATGCGCCCTAGTTTGTTATTTTACTCTGTTTAACGCCAGACGATTTTACTCGTGATACATGGCTGTTCACACAGGGTTCATCGTTCTAGCCAATTGTAACTTTTGTAAGATTTCTGTCGCATATCATCGCGAGATATTCCCAATCTTATTTCTTTGTTTATATTCTTAGTGGTTACCAATGTTAAAAGATGGTCAACTGGTGCTTGGTGAATTTGATCTACCAGTTTGTATGGAACAGTTGCCTGCTAGTTACAGCATGCTCTCACCTGAGGTTTGTACGCGCAAGAAAAGCTTCAGAGGCCGGTTGTTCAAAAGCCGGTTAGCTTAACCCTGGGGTTAATCTAAAATTCAAAGCAAACTTGCCAACAGCTTGTTTATCAAATTGGAAACATTTCTTCAGAAATCTTGTCTGGATCAATATATAGAAGTTTTCTCTTCAGGAGTTTTACAACTTTCATTCAAGAGTTCTATATACACAAACCAAAACGCCGGGTTAACTTTTAATCCAGGCTTAGCGCTAATCCAGCTTTGAACAACTGGCCCCAGAGATGTTAGAGCTGCTTCCATCGGTTCATTATCGTAATCAATTACAGTAAATGGTCGTCAGGCTTTTAGCCAGGATTCGGACAGAGGGCGTCCAATTTCGGTGACGACACACATGTACCGGCGTTCCGCAGTTGGAGACAATAGACACCTTAAGATTGACGTTTACGGCAAACGTCAAACCGCTAGCGAAGTTTTTTATTTTACAACTCTATTATAATAACTTTTACACCAATTTTGAAATATGTTAAACAATTATTAAACTTGTGGTGTTTAGCAATGATTTAAGAAAGCAAATGAACCACTAGTCATGTATTCACCAAAATAGTAAATTAAGATTTGGCGTTTGAAGTTAACGTTTGGCGTATAAATTTCATGCTTGAACGACTACAAGCCCTCGTAGCAGTTCAAGTATGAAATTTATACGCGAAACGTTAACTTCAAACGACAAATCTTAATTTACTGTTTTGGTGAATACATGACTAGCGGTTCATTTGCTTTCTTAAATCATTGCTAAAGAGCACAAGTTTAATAATGGTTTAACATATTTCAAAATTGGTGTAAAAGCTATTATAATAGAGTTGTAAAATCAAAAACTTCGCTAGCGGTTTGGCGTTTGCCGTAAACGTCAATCTTAAGGTGTCTAGTGTCCCTCTGGAAAACCTATGAATTTTGGGTCTCTTAAACAATATTGAAGTTTTACAGTTCATGTCAGCATAGCGTACTCAAGCTCATTCGAGATTATTCGGGAAATCGTTGAGAAAAATTTTCCTTCTCCCCCATCGACAATCGATTAAAATCGATGAATTGTATTGAATAAATCTAGACACGTCCACTGTGATTAATATCGCTTCAAAGAAGGTGGTGTGTTTTAAAACGTGTGTCAATTGATCACATGCGTCGATAATACCATCTCTTCGAATTGTTTTTCAATCGAAAGTTCTTCAAATATCATGCAGTGCACGGCTGTTTTGTTGATTCGATTATTGTGAAGAATAATCGATTGTGACAAAACGCAAAAAAAGTTCGATCAATCGGGAGCAGCTCTAAGAGATGTCATTAACTGGAATTCAGTTTATTAATTTGTGTCAACTCGCTTCTTTTTTCAGATACAACTTCCTAGTCTAAAATGGGTTGATGGTCACCGAGGTGTATTTAATGTTGCAGTTCGAGCTGTCTCCTCTGTGCACTCTCGAGTAAGTTATCAGTTACGCTTGGTTAGCTGTTCTTAATGCCTCCCCAACACTATCATGCATTCTATTTAAGTTAAAACCCAGTTGGAACTTTATTCTGTTAATCTAGAGCTTGGAATGGCCCCCGTAACAATGAGTAACTGCCAACTCTCATCAACTCTCATTACAGTATATATGTACATGTAGCAGTCAGGGGTCGAAATTCCCGCTATTCCGAATATACTAAAATGCCTGTCGGAATAGTAAACTTCATGATCACAGTATTCCGTTTGTATAGTAGAAAAAAGTGTGGTACCAAATGTCGACAAGCAAGGGTTTTCCTCTTGTAAAATATATCACTTTATACCGGACTTTGAGCCACTGTTCCACTTCGTAGCTAACTTCTTGTTCGCTTGCAATACTTGCATATTCTAATTTCTTTGCAGCAATATTATTGTTGATTTCAAGTCACTTTTCAACGCGCGGTTCCCAAGTTCGTTGCGAACTTGCCAATTACGTTTCCAAGTTCGGAAATTGGGCGCGAACTTCGCAACAAAGTTCGCAAGTTCATTTCAGTGTTTGAACTTTTTTTTATAATTTGTTCATCACTGTACAGAGCAATGCACTGTACATGTTTATTTTTTGTTATTCAATTATTCAGTTCACTTTAGGAGCCTCAAGGATGATTTCACGAAAATCAGAACATTAGCGCGGACCCTGAATGAACAGGCTCTCAGAAACAATACATTAATAATACATTAATTAGGAATAGTGGATTTTCAGACGTAATAGTAAATATTGTACATTAATTTATAGTACATTAATTAGGAATAGTGGATTTTCAGACGTAATAGTAAATATAAAAATCTACTATTCCAGCTGCATAGTACAGCTGGCAGTGCATCACCTTTGTATTAAACGGATTCTTTCCTTGCTACGGAACTAGTGTTGAACCAAGAACACGAGGGGGTACATTTATTAATACTTTTAATAACCTCCATAATCCAAGGGGCTAACACGAAATTCAAAATCTGCGCTTCAGAACTTACTTGAGTTACTGTAAGTACCCTGAAATTACAACTTACAGGCCAGCTCTAAGAATCATGTGGAGGTAGTCGAGCTAGCTGTTACTGGTTGACAACTCGAAATATCCTTGATTACCGCCATCTACATAAATAATACTTCATGCATGCTTTGAATAACCACTTTATATTTAAATGTTCTCGCTAGGATGTGTACATTCATCGATTCTTAAAGAACTGTCACCAGATTGAGAACAGACGTTTACCTGTATCTCCCAGTCGATCGAACGATGGAAACTTAGAGACAAGTCTTAAAAAGAGTGTTCTTGATTTACGTCAAGCCCTCGCTGAACCTCTGGTGCGTTTTCTTCCAATCATTTTAGAAAAACTCATCTTCTTGCTTGTTAGACCACCTGTCGTTTCTGGTCATGTGGGTAAGTACTGTTGCTATTAAAGTACTTTACTCAGTGTTTATAATAGAGAGGTTCAGATTTGACTTCCACTGCCGTTACCTCTCAATGGGTTAGTGCGTATCTGATCGATTAATCGGATATATCAAACGCATCTGATTGGTTAATCGGATATATCAAACTCTTCTGATTGGTTAATGGTTCCTTAATGGTAGCGGTAGCGCCAGTAGAAGTCAAATCTGAACCTTCCTATTAAGATTCTTGGTACATGAAGAAATATTTTCAAGTAGACATCGTTTGTCCGCCATGTGTTTTTTGAAGTTAGGTGAACCGTAGAAAACACAGGTTAGAAGCATTATAATGTGCTGTTGCTAATTCAGTGTCACTGAAGTCATGCGTCAGTGTTATGACTTTTTTACTACTGCACTTGCCATCTGGGAAATTAGCAATGAAAATTGTTGGTCCTCAATGAGATTTTCTTGTCATAATTTTGTTTCTGGTCACCTGACCCTAAACTGCGGAGGAGGCTAAGATTTTCTGCCGTTATTAAGCTTGTGTAGGTTACAAAAATAATAATAATAAAACCTTTATTAATGTGTCTAACTGAAATAGCAATATATACACAACCACTAATATATAAATAGAGTTTTATATTATTCCTAATAATATAGATTAATAGAATGTAAATATTATAGAAACCAAGATAATAAATAATTATGGATATGTATTTGAAGTATGATGTATGAACTATAATAAACTGTTAGTGGTATAGGAAACAGTTTACGCATTTCCCGAAAAAAGAACAAATAATTTGTGAAAGAGTTTGCTTTGCATGCGATGAACATTTTGAAAATTGTTCAGAAAAACGGGTTGGGACATTGATGATCAATACATTTGGAGATAAAGAAGGAATCTGGGCAGGCAAGCGGAAACTTTGTCATGCCCGTTAAAAACAGGCAAACGTTAAGTTACAGCACTGTTTAAGTACGTCCGATGGTAAATAACATGATAGGACTGCTTGTGTTGTCTTCAAAACCTTCCTGCAACATTCATTTTCGTGTTTCTTTTAGTGAATATTGGCCAATCAGCGTTTCAATCTTTGGCTAAGATAGTTGAACGAGTTCATGAACTTCTGGAAGACAGTGTTGATAACCATGGTCGTAGTAGTTTGTTACTGTCTTTTGTAACCTATGTCTTTAATGCACCGTTCGCGCTTTCACCTGCCACATCGTTTGGGGATTTATACAAAGGTATGTCAGTAATGATGTTTTGGTTGTTTCTTCACTTATTTTCGTGCACACTGTCAACTTTGAATGGTGAATAGAGCATAGATATCTTATATACACTAGATAGTGCATCTAAATATTCTACAATTCAAAAATTGAAGCCGTGATTGCAGACTCAGGATATTCCCATAAATTTCTATTTCTTTAATACGGAACTTAAATATTAAGGTAAACCTATTGCAAATACATTTTTAAACTATTCAAATAATGAAAGTTATTGTTGTTTTTAAGCGTTTTTCAACCAGTGGGAAACACCAACATGGCCGCCATCTATTCAAATGGGGTAACCGCTGGAATATTCTTGGCTTCAGTTTTACTAAAAGAGATGCGCTATCTAGTCTATATAAGATATAAGATATCTATGGAATAGAGTAAGAAGATAATTAGATATTCTGTGCAAGTTGCCTTCTTTGTTGTCTATGCTTCCGTGCAGGGGTTGAAATGGGCGGGTGGCCTACAATTTGGACCAAATTTTTCATCTGGGGACCATTTGCAAAGGTAGCTTTCGTGGCGACTGAGAATAAAACTTGAAATAACAATATAATTCTAAACCCCTAAAATATCTCAGTGAATCAAGCATTTCCGGCCTGGATCAAATCTAATAGCTGATATTAAATTTGGCGAGCAGATCTTATTCACTGGTAACTAATTAGGCGACTAATGTTTTTTTTTGTTTTTTTTTTTCATTTCCACCCCTGCTTCTGTGAATTATTTCTGTAAATGGGAACAGTTATAGTAACTATAGGCGTGTGAGTTTGTCTTTGTCTGGTGATATGGAATTTCCCCCATCACATTTCAATTCCCCACGATATTCTATGCTCGTGTAAGGAAATCACGTAACTATATATGCGAATGCCGAAAGATGCTTTTCCACACGTTGAAGAAAATTAGTGGTCCATTGAGTGAGGCCAAGTGAAATGCGTGCAAAGGAATTTAAAAATTCGTGTATGTAGTCGTGTTGCCGTATAAAATTTTCGGCAACAGCAAGGATTCACTTCTAAATTTTCAAATAATATCACGGTATAAAATGTGTGTAATATAGCCACCACGATCGGGCGTGTTGTATCAGATATGTAACTCGAGCCAATTAAAGGCGATATGATACAATCGGACGCGAATGCTGTATATACCTTGTGAAACGTAAAGATTTGAAACGTAATAACGAAATTATTAAAATTTTCTTAAATTGAGAAAATTAAGGACGAAGTTAGGCAAATCAGGAAAATTTCGTCTTTAACAAATATAAAACATTTTCCGTGTTGATATACAGTTATATCGACACGGGGGGGTTTTATAGTATAGCACAAAGAAATATAAAGAAATAAATTTTTCGTGTTGACATTCAGTTATGTCAACACGGCTCTTAGCCAATCAGCGTTCAAAACTTACAAATGTTATATTATAAATGTGTATACAACACCTCATCAAACAATCTCACACGTTTACTTTCAGATGAACGTCCTATAAGCATGCATATTACGCGTGACGAACTTCTACAAAGCAAGGTTCACAGCAACAGCAATCCGTCGTTAAATGCCGACTCACTCTCGCCATCTCGCAGCCTGGGGAGGAAGTCTGAAGACTGGGACCTAGGACAGATCAGCAAGTTTCCTGGGAACAGAAGTAGTATGGCGGAATCAAAGGCAGGTCATATGAGGCTGCCGCTGTCACCTCCACATAAGAAGGTGTGTTGTCATTTTGTACCTTGTGACTTCACATGGCTGTACTATGTTTGCAGCAATCTGAGATAGGTATATATATAAATTCCCCTTTATCCACGGACGGTATAATTTATACTTTTGTCCAAAAGATCACAATGTTTGAAACTTCGTGTCTTAAGTGTATTGGTTCGTAAATAGTCCTAATACTCTTCGAAACAAATTCCACATCTACTTTATCTGCCGTCGCCATATTTACTCGCCCCATACAATTCTACATGCTTCGACATTTCGAGCAAAGGCCCTTCGTCGGGAAGGTATAGAAAGTGAAAGCTTTAATCACTTGATTAAATCTTGATGTAATTCGTATGGAAATTACTGCTTCTTTTGGAAGCTGCACTCTGGTGCTGAATGTTGAAAGTGCTGCTTTAGATCGTAGGTACGATTTACTAATTGAATGTGTAACTTTCATTTTATTTTGTTTTAGCTTGTTCATGAAGAGATTGCTTTACAATGGGCTGTTGCTACTGGGGAGATTAAACATATGACACTTGCTCATGCATGGTTTTTCTTTGAGTTGATGGTTAGTAGTTCTTAATTGACACTCGTTAATATGGATATTTTTGCAGTTACACTAATACAGTCTATACTTGTATACGATTTTACAGTCTACTCCATTGTAACCACACTGCAAGTACATAGTACAGTACAATATGTTGCACGTAACAATGTGTTTATGAATTATGACTGTATGGATGATTATCATATCACCATATCACTTCTTCAATTTTATAGTAGGACTTTATTACATTTGAAGTGTACGCCTTTGAGAACACGTAAATTTGAATCAAATTTTGACTTTGATCCTTAATTCCACTTTCCTGAAGGGAAGTGCATGAATCTTCAGGGAAGGTGCAAAAACTCTCAGGGGAGGTGAAAACGATCTCAGGAGAGGTCTGCACCTCCCCTAAAAATCCGGCCATTGTGCACCATAATACAGACCCTGTTATGCAGTACAGTATGGTATATGGTGCGGTACCGCATGACACAGTACAGCACAATAGGGAGGTTAAGATACCCCGGTTTACGAGTATCGCCATTTTGTTTACCAAATTTTGCTGATGTCAGCATGTTTACACGTAATTTCTACCCGTTTCCCCGCGGTAGACCATGGTCTACACGTTAAAGACAAACGGGTACGGGTGTTTTCTGTTTACTATATTTGTAGGGCGTTTAAGCAGTGAAATATTTCAACATCTTGCCTAAATAAATCAACGCACATTTGTTTCCCAAATCTACGGTGAACCTCAACAACAAAAGTTACTATTCTCCAATCGGTTTTCGTACCCCGGGATATCTTGGATTTCTTAAGTTGCAAGTCGTACCCATTGAATGGTCGTACCCCGTTCTACGTTTATGTGTATATCACATGTACCCGTAAATCGGAAGCGGGGTATCTTAATTAACTTCTCTAATCTACTACAGTACAGTATGTTACGGTAAGGTATAGTGCATGTGATACAGACAGCACACTACAGTTTTGTATACAATACAGTGCTAAAAGTGTAAACCTACCATTTATTTATGAAGGTAAAAAGTATGGCCCAGTATCTGGATAGCATTGACAAGTTCTACTTCTCAAGAAGTAGACGCTTTCCTGATCAATTTATGGATGACGTCAGAGCTCTTGTAGCCATGGCAACGTCGGAAATTATTGAAGAATTTAGTCAGGTACTTACAAGTTCTACTCTTGCTTTGTGGCGTTTACAAATTGTGGCACGGAGTGTAAAATTCAGGGGTCGGTTGTTCAAATGCCGATTAGCTTAACCCTAGGTTAGCCTAAAATTCAAAGCAAACTTCCCAACAACTTGTTTATTAATTTGGAATATTTCTTCAGAAATCTTGTCTGGGTCAGTAGGAGTTTACTTCTCTGAAGTTTTGAAATAAACAGACTTGCAGAAATACACAAACTAAAACAGCAGGTTAAATTTTAACCCATGGGTATCGCTAATCCAGCTTTGAACAACCGGCCCCTGGCCTTATTTAAAGCTTGTCGTTTCAAGACTTTGTGGCAAATGTATTGTCCAGAGGCCAGTTGTTCGAAAGCTGAAGGCAATCTTCCCAACAACCCTTATTTATAAACATGCTAATATTTTTTTTCAGAAAGCGGGTTACATTTTAACACAGTTTAGGGTTAGCCATTATCTAGCTTATAAGAAGAAGTTGACAACGGCAGTCAACATGTACCTGTAGTATGTAATCAAGGGTTTTGTACAACCGGCCACTTACCACTCAAATATAGATACTGTAACTGCATTACCACCACGCTTCACTATTTTGTGAACATAAATCCGAGATTTGATCGTAATAATATTATGTACATATTTGCAACCAAACTGATCTCAACAGACCGAAACCAATCTCAACAGATCGTGAGTGCATTGCTTTTCAGGTATTTGTCGCGCATTAAATATCTCTTGATTTGTCTAATTTTAATTGTACTCTGTACAGGATCCTTCCTTGGCTAAAGACTTGAATTCCTACTTGTCCTTTTTCTTCTACGACATTCTGTCTCTGATGGACCGTGGATATGTTTTGAAACTCATAATGTATTACTATACTGAGGTATGTTCACGCCATGAAAACGATCGAATTCCTTCAGTATATTAAGCGTAGACGGGATTTAAGCGCACTTAACAGAATATGATAGAAAAGAATATCATTCTATTATAGCCTTATACTGTATAATTTTTTTCTGTTTTGCGAGCTGTTTTGTTTGCCATTATTCCCATTCCTGTTTACCAGTTTTTGCCATGATTTATGTTTGTCAGTTTTCTACTGTTAGCGCGTGTCGATTTCTTGAAACGATTTAATTGATTTGTGAGGTCACGAGAGAATACTCGAATGTTAACTATCATGGTTAATAAATATGTAAACATGTCGAGGTTGTTAAACAGCCATATTTTCAAATATACTACTTGTACAAGCAATGTACAAATGTACTTGAACAAGCAAATTTACTGTACTGGGCTACAGCGACTGTCCAGTCACGCATACGTGATAAAAAGCCGCTTTATAAGGCCAAAAAAAATGTGGGTTTCCGGTTTCCCGACCCTACCTAGCTTTTGGACGTCGAAATCCCGACCCTAAACTTTTTTATTGGATCATGCTTGTAAGTGTTTCCACTTCGAGGAAAAAGTTTGTGGAAAATTGAAATTTGAGGCAATATTAGGGAAATTTATCTTTGGATGTGGAAGCACTGACTAAACAAAATGGCGTCCGCTTGTTCGGAAAATTAAAAAAAAAAGTTTAAAAAAAAAAGTTAAAACCGACCTACCCTACCTACGTTTTTATAAATGAGAAGAAACCGGAAACCCACATTTTTTTTGGCCTAAACAAAACAGAAAACGTAACAGAACGGCGAACATGCAGATTCGACCATCTCAAATAATGGTAATGTTGGGATAGTAGCGGTGCAGACTGCAGAGGAGAGTGTGCAGTAAGGCTCCCTCATGCATTACCCCATGGAAAACCTGCATCCCTCGATCCTTACTGATGAGGCTAGATCCGCCCTTGATGTGTATCATCAGAACCAGATTGAGAGAGTGATACGCAGCACATTGCAAAGAGAGATTAGTAATTTCCTATTCTTTTAATTTAGATTATGGCTGCGACTGTACAAAAGCCTGGGCTAGCAGAGCTTCGACTTAACTCCCTGCGTATCATTTGCAGTCACGAACATTACGTCACTTTAAACCTTCCCTTCAAGATGCCACTGTTTCCATCTCCTCAGATCTCGCCATCGCCATCCTTGGCTTCTATTGAGTCCAGTGCATCGTCCATGATGACGTCATCCATGCCGCCCAGTATGGCTGAACTGTCAGTAAGTTTTCGTCGACAGCATTACTTATCTGGATTACTGCTGTCTGAATTGTCGCTTGCTATGGATGGAAGGTAAGCAGTAAGGTGGATATAGTATTTATACAGAATACAAATTATCGAGTATAACTAGAAATGCATGCGAACAGCAACCCTCGCCTAAATTTTCCAAACATTGATTTAACATGAAGTATTCGCATTGATCAACACTGGACGCAGGCTCGCGTTGTGTTGTCATGTGTTGCCATAATAACATGATCAATTATATTTTTTTGTACAAAATGGCAAAAACACTTGAAGGATTAGTACTTTTAAACTATACACAATTACTATTCCAAAACTTGTTTTGTAGGTATGTTATTGTAACGTAAAATTTAACCTGATTATTTAACCCATTATTTTTGGAAAAATATTGACGAGGGTTTACTACAACATTTTGGGCTCTGAAGGCAGTGGACGGATCGTTCCAATTTGTGCGCTCTATTGGAGGATGTGCGTCTACATGAGGATGAGTGAATGTTGCACCCACCAGAAATGACAAACAACCGTGTTTGCCAAAACAAACGAACTACTGGTCAAGTTGAACAACATTCGTTGGTAGTTTATCCATGCTGTTAGACTCGCAAACTAACGTCCCATAACAAAAAACTTATTGAGGATACGCGAGTGTTTAGGCTGTTGAGTTGGAACGTGAACATGTTGAAGTTGTGTCCATGTTCCATTTGATAATTTCACAAATTTCATTCTCTTCCATTCAAGTTTCATGCAGTATCTGGCTTCTGTTCTTTGTTCTAAAGTACACAATTTTGATTGGTAACTTTGACTGCTTTTCCATAATGACGGATATTGATTTCTTGGTTCGTATAAAGTTTTTCTCGTGTGAGCTCAACTTTGCAACAACGTTTTACGTTTTCCTCATTTCTGTTTAACTTTCTGCGTCCACCTTTTCATACATTGCTGCCAAATTACCTTTCAATGAATCATCTCTTGTCTAATGTCAGTACAACTATTATAATATGGACCAGGTGAAGTAAATCTCGTTTATTCACTTCAAGTTGACATCCTTGGTTGCAAAGATATTAACTTGAAATGAATAAACACATTTTCTGACATGCCTATCGAGTTCATCTCTATGCCCATGTCATAGAATGTGGGTTTGGACAAGATGTCACAGCTCAATAAATTATCCACAAACGGCATCGAAGAATTGACAAATATCCATTTCAGACAGTAAGTTCTTTATACAGTTTGGCACAAAATAAAGACAGTGAATGGTTCCGTACATGAAGGACGCGTAGGAATGTTTATCAGATGTTTGGCCATACAAATGATACGAAAATTCGGACCTGTCAAAATCAACATCACTTTTATCAACGGGACGTTCAGGAAGATTATAGAAATTGAGGCCTGATACACGAAAGACGTGATACACGAAAGACGTTTATGAATGCTAGTCAGATGCTTGGACAAATAAGATCCGATACAGATTACAACATGCAAAAATTCGGACTTGTCAAAATCAACACGTCTTTTGCCGAGCTTGTACTGAATGTACGGCAAAAATAATGTTGGTTTTGGCAAGTCGTGGCCGCATCCTTGAAACCATTGGTGCAAGTAAAACGTTGCAAAATCTGGCTAAAGGCTGATTTCCACTTTTGCGTTTTTCCTACGCATGTACACGCACGTAAAACTTTGAATCCTTCTATTTTTTAAATATTTTACAAATAAGTTAACAAATGCATACTAAAACTTGCGGAACACTAAATTCTGTTGCTTTATTTATTTCGTTATTTCATAAGTAACATTTAAACGGATTTAAAGTTTTACGTGCGTATACGTACGTATGAAAAACGCAACAGTGGAAATCAGCCTTAACAACCTATTCAAACCGTTCATCTTCATAGCCAGTGTCGTATTATTATTAAAAAATTATTATTAAAACTTTATTTACACACGGTATTCTCATCAGGATTTAACATGCAACTAACTAAATTAGATAAATTACAAAAGTAGAACCACGCTAAAGTAAATAGAAAATATAATACCTGCTTTTCATGAGGGCCGTGTACTAAGCTAATATAACAATATATACAAGGACAATATATTTGGCACAGCCCGATCGGAAATTTATCAAGTTATTTGCTTGCCGTAGCCCAATCGGAAGACTGTTCCACAGCACCGCACCACTATAGCTAAAGCTATTCTTGAGATAGTTTGTGCGGGGCTTGGGAACAGCTAGTTTGTTCTCAGTGTTTCTCAGCGAATAAGGATTAACACTGTCACGGTTTACAAACATGGAATGCATGTAATAAGGAGCAAGACCATTTAATGATTTATAGACCATGACAGCTTTTTGAAACTGGCGCTGGGATGCTAATTTTTTCCAGCCAAGTTTCTCAATTAAACCATCAGCATTAGTGTCATAACTGGAGAATGTTAGTACTCTCGCTGCACGATTTTGTAGTTTTTGAAGTTTTTCAGCTGGGGTTTTGTTGCAATTGTCCCAAATTGTGCAACAGTAATTGAAATATGGCTGAACCAAGGAATTAAAAATTAATTGCAATGTTGCGACTGGGACAAATGATCGAACACGTTTTAAAGCGCCAATACCAGAAGCAATCTTTTTTGTTAATTCATTAATTTGTATATTCCAAGATAGATTCTCATCAAGGTACACTCCGAGAGACTTTGCTTGTAAAACCTTGTCAATAGGAACCCCGTCTATTTCTAAACATGGAACTGATCGAAATGTGGCTATTCTTTGTCGTGAGCCAATTAGCATAAATTCAGTTTTGGATTGATTTAGAGTAAGCTTATTGGCGATAAGCCATTTGTTCACATTTGCAAGGTCATGATTAAGGTGATAATTTATGTCGTCAATATTGTTACTTGCAAATGTTAAATTAGTATGCAGCCATTTTAATCCAAATTAAAGTCACGGACTTGAAATTCGTGACGTAATTGGCGACGGGAGTGGATTTGGAACGCTCAGGAAAATTAGAAAAATTGAGGCTCGATAAGGGAAGGACGTGTATGAATGTTTATCAGATGTTTGGACAATTAGATCCGATGCAGGTTAGAAGATACGAAAATTCGGACCTGTCACAAGCAACACCTCTTTTGTCGAACTTGTGCTGAATGTTCGACAGAAGTGATGTTCATTTGGCAAGTCCTGATCGCATCCTTGAAATCATTGGTGGAAATAGAACATTACCGTTCATCTTCATACCCAGTGCCGTCCACCGCCGTTTTAATTCAAATAAAAGTCATGGGCTTGAAATTTGGAACGTAATAGAAGGGTGGGGGTGAATTTGGAACGTTGAGGAAGATCATTGAAATTGAAGCTTGTTAAAGCGATTTCCTGTACTTTCTTGCGGCAAACTGAAGAACTTGGACAGCAAAAGTGCAAGTGAAATCGAAGTGAAGAAAATGATCTGTCAGCACTGGTAATGAGATAGCCTCTGAGGAATTTTAGCATCACTTGACATCTTTAACATCTGGCTTTGGTTGGACCAAGCTCTTCCAAAAACTTGGCCCGGTTAGTATGTTTTTTTCCCTTCCAAACTCAGTGACTGATACGGAACATCAAACTTCGAACAGCATAGTCAGCTACAGGTTTCAATGTTCTCAGCTACAAGACTTATTCAGCATCGCACTTGCATATTCTAAGAGTTATTTGGCGTGAATACTAACGTATGGCTGGAAGTAGATTCTCCAACGTTGCCATTTTTTCCTGGAATAAAATAATTATCGCTTCAAGAGTCTGGTATGATCTGTATTGGAATACAGGCTTCCGGAAAGTACACCATCTTGTTATAGAGCCTCTTTTTCGTTCTTGAGACGTTGGTAAATGGTAATGAATAGTTTAGACGCTCGTGTAGATACTGTTTGAAGTTGATGGAAACTTAGAAAAAATTAGCGTAAAATGGAAACTAAATTAAATATTGACATAATTTTGTTCAATGTTTAAAATCGCTTTCAAAATGATACTGGTCAGTTTTAGACATTGCTGCCTCAGCAGGAGTTGGTAAGTGGAGTGAATATAGCAGTAACTATTTAGAAATTTCACTATATCGTATGTGTTTTGTTTTGTGTCAATGCCGTTAATTGCGGCCTAGTTATCTGCATGAATACACCGGCGAAAAGCTGGCCTTGACATGGGAATGCATTCTACACGAACTAATACGCCTATCCCGTATAATTATATAAATTTCACACTTGGTTAATAATATGTATTTCAAGCTAATTTTAAAAAATTGAAATTATCTGTGAAAGCAAATGTGCAAAATGCACAAAGTCATGCCCGGTCATGTTCTACCAATAGCACTAAATCAACTGCTTTTTACTTTCCGCGTTCGGGTGGCGTGACGCATTTCGTGCCATTGCAAATTCTCTACATTGAGCTAAGCCTTAAAGGTCAATGGCAACATTTTATTGTCTCATTTGAAAGAATCTTATCTATAAAATCTTGTTACAGATTTTTCATATCAGCTTAACTCTTGAAATATTTTGACTGAAAGCGATGAGCTGTCCGCCATCTTGGATTAATTTTTAACTTCATGAACTATCGTTTTGATGATGTCAAGAGTGAGGTTTAAAATCTTTTTATTCAATTGGAAATTTGAAATAGCAACCAAAAACGAGTTTCCTGTTCATATTGATCTCTGGCTGTCAAGATAATAAACTTGCGTGACCCCACTTGTGACGTAATATGCATATCCTCAATAATCCAATATGGCGGACAACTCATTGTCATTGCTTTCAGTCAAAATATTTCAAGAATCAAGCAAGATATGAGAAATCTGTAACAAGATTTTAGAAATAATTTTAAACGTTCTTTCAAATGAGACAATAAAAATTATTGTTTAGTTTAGTTTAGTTTAATAGATTTATCACAAATTACATACGAAACATATTACAGACAGTAGTTACAGTTTGTGGCAGGGAATGAAAACAGGACAAAAGTCCCAATTGACATTCAATCCCTTAAATGGTATTCTCCTTTAACTTTAGCACGTATTTTTCCGCCTAGTGACCCTGCTATACAAGACCAAGCGATTGACTGTATCACGGACTTAATAAAGTGCCATGATTCAGACACGAGATATGATGAACCATCATGCAGAGCTCGAGTTGCCTCTCTTTATCTTCCTCTTTTGGGAGTTGTCATTGAGAACTTTTCCTTTCTTCATGGAGCTCCGCCCGATGATAACAATGGCGAGTTAAGTCTATCCGTTGCGAACGCTATTGCTACCTCGACCCTTACCTCGCGATGGGTACCAAACAACGATGATATGGGCAAGGATTATTCAAGTCAGGTAAGGATTTTCGTGTGGGTTTTTTAGGTTTTCGGAGTTTATATACGACATGCTCGATGTTCTATCCTAGGAGTGCACCAGATATGTCGGATAGTTGAAAAATACCCTGACGAATATCGCATTTTTTTATATAAGGGTTGGGCTTTCATTTATAAGATAAATAATAATTTTAATAGGTTATAAAGTTGAGGAGGGTGGGGGTGTTTGTAATATCTTGACTAGCCTAACATCGATAAACGTGCATAGTTGCAAAAGCCTTGTCCACAAATTTCGAAAATAAAATCAATTTTTTCGCATTCGCAAACGGGCATGACAAAACTGCCAGCTTCACTCTGATCATTTCAAATAAAAATAATATAGATACGCCTGAACCTTATATACCGGATATCAAGATTATCTTACTATCCGGTTGGATATGATATTGGTCGGATATATGATATCCGGTGAAAATGTTTTTGAATTGTGAGGATTTTGTCAGTTGATCGTAAGTTATGAGAAGACCCCCAACATGAGAGGTGACCCCCAACATCATGAGAGGGGGCCAGGAGCAAGTTCTCGACTGCCCTGTTTGGTTAATTAATCGGGGTGAAGTTAAATATATTAGACTGTTTCATTTGTGGTGGCTTACCTTTTAATCTCTGTTTTTGTCTTACAGAAATCTCAGCAGCCAAGCCTGACACCAGAGTCCACACGTAAACTACTGCTGTGTTTCCTGTGGATCATCAAGAACGAAGAGTCTGGAGTTTTGAAAGAATGGTGGGCAAGACAACCATCGTCAATGTAAGTACAAATCTACAGTATAAACAATGGATAATTTGGTCTAATGAGATGTATATAAATTTCTGCTTGATGATTTCCATATTGAATCGAGTGTGATGCAAAAAAAAACACAGACTGGATAACTCTTTCAATACGGGAAACACGTGTTTAAAACGCCAAAAAGAACGAGGAGAAGAGTATGGGTCAGAAAATTTCAATGTTCTAAAATATCTTTTGAAAATGACCATGAAAGGGTTATAGCAATGCTGTGAATGGTAGCTTATACTGTAGTGAATAGCTGCAGTAGGAAACAAAACTGTAACAATAAATATACAACCAAGAAAGCATTGGTGGGCTATATATTAAGCAGATTTGTTATATCACATTATGGCTTAAAAAGTGAGATTTCCGACAACAAAAGGGTGTTAGTACGTTTGTAACATAATTTCGTCCCCCGCCCAAATATTTTTCGAATCTTACATTAACCCATGTATGTTGCTTTGCAACAAGAAAACGAGGGTGCCCCCTGACATGTCATTCTGAAAATAACTCATGCACGAATTGGTTAAAGGTTAAAGTGGAAGTCAAGTCCGTTCTGCGCATCGGTTCTGCTCATAACAATGTGAGGACCTCTAATGTAAACATTGCCCAAATTTCGAATGTTTCAATTTTTTCTGAACATAAAGTCTATTTCATATTCATTTAGAAACATAGCGAACCAAAATGGTGTTAGATATTCAGACAGTACATCATATTTTAAAAAATACAGCAGTTCAAAATGTAAACAAACCGTTTGTTTACATTACGGACTTGACTTCCACTTTAACAATAAAGGATCTAAGACAACGCCGAGCAGTTCCTTACTGAGACCTGACTTAGTTTGTTTACACTAGTGGAGGGCTAAAGCCACACTTTAGATACGAGTCAAACCAATACACCCTTTTTAGTAAATGACGCAAGGTGATTGGCTCACGATTCATGAGAGCGAGGCTCCCAGGCCATATGACGTAATTATCGAAAGGGTGTATTGGATCATAACGGTCAAACGATTGAGGAGGTTACGACTCTCATTCCCAGAAGGCCAGCAGTTTATACGGTGACGTTTTGTTGATATAGACGTTAAGCGGTACTGATGATGTCAACAAGATTGTTGTTAACATCTTGTTCCAAACTTGTTGAAAACTTGGGACAAGCAATGCGAAAACAACTTGTTGACGGCTTGTTGGCAGACTTGCTACAAGATGTGAGATTTTTTGCGTGTGTACATAATGGCAGTAATAAGATTGATAGTGATTGGCAGGGATGCAACTACCTGAAAAATACAAGGAGAACTTCGACGTTTCAAGCGGAGGTTCTTTGCGACTAAAGGTCGAGGCACACCGGACGCGATTCGACAACGCGACGCGATATTTTAGTTTTCGAAAGTTAATAAAACAGCCAATGAGAGCCAATTTTGAAAGAATAGTAGACCAAATAACTTAAAATGTTTTAGCGCTTCTAAATATTTGGAAAATTTAAACTAGGATCAAACTTATCTGTCAGTGAAAATCGAGAAATCGCGTCGCGTTGTCGAATCGCGTTCGGTGTGTCTGGACCTTAACTTCCCGACGAAGAGCCTTCGCTCGAATCGTCGAAGTTGTCCTTGTATTTTTTCACGTAGTTGCATCCATATCAATTTGGAGCTTAACTGGAAAGCAGCCTTTAAAGATGGTGAGCGCCGTTCTTGTTTAAAAGCACGTGCGTGAATCTGTTCCTGAACATAGAATTAGTTCGTAATTCCTGTATATATAAGAACCGTTCACGCCATGCCGTACGTCAAAGCTCTCCAAGTTAATAAACATTTTTCTTACCAATATATGTGTATTTTGTAGAGTATGTCGGCTACTCGATGTCCTAGATTTATGCGTGACTCAGTTCAGATACAAAGAAGTACAGACTTCGGAAACAAAGGCAACAGCGGTGCCATCAAAGCCAGACAGTTCCACGGCGAAAGCGAGGTTAGAAGAAGCTATTCTTGCGAAAGGGGCTGCACGTGAGATGATGGCTCGACACAGAGAGAGCAGATTTTTGTTAGGTAAGACACACAAGTGTGAGTTCACGATCGAGCACACGCGCCTAAAGCCGGTTTTCCACTGGCGAAATTTGTTGCGCGAATCTTTTGTCTTATAAGCTCTCGGCTGGAACTAATTAGATTTTTAATAAATTATTTTCAATTTTAACAATAAAAATTCGCTTCGCGCGAAGAAATTCGCTTGTGGAAAACAGGCTTTACACTGTCGATGCAATGGAAGTGTTGATAAAATATTGCACCAATTCCTTTCCCCAAGTTGATCAATTCATTTGATAGAAAATTGATCAACTCCCTGTTACTTTTAGATGAGCCAATTAGATTTCGTTTCAGAACCGATTGACCAATAGGAGACGCACAGGAAGTAAAAAGAAATTTGAATTCGTATGAATTGATCAACTTGAGGAAATGAATTCATGCAATACAGTATTTTATCAACACTTCCATTGCATCGACAGTAAGCCCATTTCCGCAGGGCGAATTTGTTGGCGCGAAGGGAAGCGAAAAACCAATATTGGCAATGTGATTGGTCAGCGAAAAAATCCGCTACGAAAAAGTTGGATCAGTTCCTACTTTTTTACTGTCGGCGCGACAAATTCGCTTAGTGGAAAATGAGCTAAACACGCGTCTAAAGACATGGGTGCGCGCACTTTGTCGTGCGCTTTTTTGTCAAGATAGAAGAACGATTTCATGGACATGTTAAGTTATTTTTTGGTTTGATTGAATTTGGCGTGTTCAATAAATATTCTGTTATTAATGTATTGCATGCAGGTGCTTGATTACCAGATGCATGCCGAAACCCATGCATGCCGAAGACATGTGTTACTGACTCTTGCTTTATTAAGTGTCTACAAAAAGTGCCTTTGACCAGACAGGTGTGGTCAGGCGCCAGAAATTTGTTTTTGTCAAAGCAACCCCGCCGTTGGACAGATTTGTAATTAACTTATTGTATTACTTTCTGACCTTATAACTTATTAATGCCATGTTTTGAGCCTCAGTAACGTAAATTATTGCTTATATTTCTCCTCATTTCTTCTTTATTCTATATTCTATATTAGATAAGGTTACTGGTCTTTCTGCAGCAGGTGAAGCCAAGTTACGTTGGAAGAAAGATCAAACTCAGTACAAACAAGCTAAACAGCAGGAAAGGTATGGTATGGTCAGGGTATTAGCTAGCCCATATATACTGTCCGTTTGACGGACTCTTCCCATTTGAAGTAGGTAAGGGGCTTTCCCAACTGGGTCTACTGGAAGATTTTCATTTTTTCTGATGATAAAATGCATTGCGTTTGATTTTATATTATTATATCAAAGAACGTTGTATTTACTTTTTCCCATTAACTATGCCCCTATATAAAAATGGCCAGCGTAGTATTCCTGGAAACTACAGACCAATATCAGTTTTACCGGCCATTAGTAAAATTATGGAACGGATATTGTATGATCAACTGTATAACTATTTAACAAAATTTGAGCTTCTCAGTGATTCCCAATTTGGATTTCGAAAATTTCACTCTACAGCTAGTGCACTACTAGACTGTACTAATGATTGGTATGTAAATCTAGACAGAAAAATGTTTAACCTAGTAGTTTTAATTGATTTGAAGAAAGCCTTTGATACTGTTGATCATCAAATTCTGCTGAACAAATTAGAGCTCTATGGAATAAAAGGACAAGCTCTAACTTTGCTCAAATCCTATCTCACAAACAGAAACCAGAAGTGCCAAATAAAAAACTCATTTTCATCTGAGCGCTTGATAAAATGTGGTGTACCACAAGGCTCTATATTAGGGCCATTATTCTTTTTGTTGTACATCAATGATTTGCCACATTGTCTAAACAAAACCAAACCGCGGTTGTTTGCTGATGACACAAATTTGACTGCTTCAGCAAATTCTATGACTGACCTAGAGACTGCAGTAAATTCTGATTTAGAGAACCTTAGAAAATGGTTAATAGCCAATAAACTTAGCCTCAATGTAGCTAAGACAGAGTTTATGTTGATTGGCTCTAAACCTATGATCAAAAATATTTCTGATTCTTGCCCAAATGTTTACATTGAAAATATACAAATTAAACAAGTTCATGAATGCAAAACTCTAGGAGTAACAATTGACCAGCATTTATCTTGGAAAAGTAATACCGAAAATATTTGCCAAAAAGTTACAGCAGGAATCTCTGCTATTCGTCGGATCAAACCATTTGTTGATCAAGATACACTTATTTTGATATATAACACTATTGTTCGTCCGTACTTTGACTACTGCTGTGAAGTATGGGATGTATTTGGTGAAACTCAATCAAAAGGACTGCAAAAACTGCAAAATAGAGCGGCAAGAATTATTCTGAATATAAGCAATGACGTAGATTATACGATTGCTTTACGTACTTTGGGCTGGGAGCCACTCCAAACCGAAAGGAAGAAAACTAAAGCAAGAATGATGTATAAGTTATTAAACAAAATAGGCCCAAAATCACTCACAAATCTATTTTCGTTTAAGAGTGAGAAAACTAATTACCACCTTCGGGATGTCTCAAGTGGTCTTTATTTACCAAAACCACGTACAAATAGCATGAAAAATAGTTTTATGTACGACGGAGCAAACATTTGGAATTCTATACCAAAAGAAATTAGGGAAAGCAAGACACTTTCTTCCTTTCGAAATAAAATCACTGCTCACATTAGTGCTTGGTAACCTTTGTAAATATAATTTACCTGTAAATAGCTCAAAACATTTGTTATATCTTTTAAATTTATATATTACTGTAATAGCTTAGCTTATCCTTATCATATTCTGCATGTAAAATAATTTTCTGGCACACGCCCCCCGTGGAAATCAGCTACGGTTGACGGGGTCAGCGTGGATAAATAAATTTCTACTACTGCTACTATATAATATATATATATATATATATATATATATATATATATATATATATATGTATATATATATATATATATATATATATATATATATATATATATATATACTCTAAGCTTGCAAATCATAATGGGGAGCATCATTTAATCAGTTTACAAACTAGGTTACCCACAGGGCAGTAATGCTGCCTTTGACAGCAAAAGACAAACTACAGGGTGTTGAACGAGTCCTTCAGAAACATCCAATTATTGTTTAGCTTGTATGGCAGGGCGTCTAGCGTCTGGCGTTGGACAGGGTAAATACTAAAGTAGGGGTCATTACTGTGCTGATGAATTAACAAGAGCTATTGGCAGATAGGTTTGTTAACCCATTTACTGGCAGTACCCTATACCACTGACGAGTAAAATCTTCTGGCGCTCGACAAGGGAAGGGCGCATTGCCAGCTAATGGGTTAAACCACCGTGGTTAAACATAAGATTTTATGATGCTCCAGGAAATGTAAACAAGCTATCAGTGTGACATCCCAGTTTATATATTTATATACTCGGAATATTGATTTATCGGTATAAAATTATATATATATATATATATATATATATATATATATATATATATATATATATATATATATATATATATATATATATATATATATATATATATTTACCGGCTGCGAGGTGCGGATGAGAAAAACTGTGCCCGAGGTCTAGAAAACGGCCCGAGCCCGAAGGGCGAGGGACGTTTTCAAGACCGAGGGCACAGTTTTTCTCATCCGGACCGACGCTGCCGGTCAATAACGTGTTTATTTTTTATCAGATGTAAAAATTAAATTCATTAAAATTCCAGTGTTGCGTGCGAACAGGGCGCTATAAAACACGGGCGGTGAAATGGAGATAGCGCCCCTGATCTTTGTGTGATGCGCGTACCCCCCGTATACATTAATTTATAATGTCAATAAAAATGGAATTTGAATGTTTATTATGGCTTTATGCAAAAAAGAGCTGAAAAAACTAAAGTAAAAAATGTTTTCTGCACATTCCTAAACAACTTGATGGTTTGAAGACATTGTTGGATTCATTTTCTGTATATATAATGAAGGAAAAAGGGTTTTAAAGATTTATCATGAGCGAAATAAAAATTTGAAAAGGAATCGAGTTGATCGAATGTGGGCATCTCTCACCTATCTCAACGAGGAGAAACACTATTTTAAATACGTCCGCGCTTTGACAAAAAAGAAAAAAATGTCGTCAACATCGAGTTCAAAATGGATGTCTTTTCCTCAACAATCGCTTCGTTCATTTTGCAAGTGAAATAGATACCAATTTTAGCAGTATAAGCTGATACTAGATACTTCAATAAACATTTATAGTATATGTATTTGAGGCAGGAAGTGATTTCGTTTAATTGATAATTGAAAATTTGTGTTGTTTAAACATCGTATTATCTGCATAAATAAGTATAGTAATCGCGAATCTATTGTCGTATGGAGTATACGGAAAACCATAAAGGCTGCACGATATCTCCATTTTACGAAAAAAGCCCAAAAAAGCCCCGTTCAATTTTACTTGAGACATAAAGCCAAGTTAAATGTCTATAGTTTGGCGTGTTCAAATTTATCTCAACCTATCTCAACGAGGAGAAAACACTATTTTAAATACGTCCGCGCTTTGATAAAAAGGAAAAAATGTCGGCAAAATCGAGTTCAAAATGCATGTCTTTTCCTCAACAATCGCTTCGTCCATTTTGCAAGTGAAATAGATAGCAATTTTAGCAGTATAAGCTGATACTAGATACTTCAATAAACATTTATAGTATGTATTTGAGGCAGGAAGTGATTTCGTTTAATTGATAATTGAAAATTTGTGTTGTTTAAATATCGTATTATCTGCATAAATAAGTATAGTAGTCGCGAATCTATTGTCGTATGGAGTATACGGAAAACTATAAAGGCTGCAAGATATCTCCATTTTACGAAAAAAGACCAAAAAAGCCCCGTTCAATTTTACTTGAGACATAAAGTCAAGTTAAATGTCTATAGTTTGGTGTGTTCAAATTTATCTCAACCTATCTCAACGAGGAGAAAACACTATTTTAAATACGTCCGCGCTTTAAATTTTGCAAATACTTTCATCGCTCGAGTAAAATTTTTGCCCTGATATTTTCTTTCAACAAGCGTTCAGTAACAAACAACACAAGCTATTACATGTGATATAACTTATTAAATAATATTTCAAATTTTAATTAACGAAACATAATTCCTTAGCATTTAAATCCTTTGTTTTCTCGTTTGCTTGTTTACATTTTTTTGTTGCCATCTTGTACGCGATTTTCTGGGGGTTTTTTTTAGAGAAAGCGCGCTCGCGCCAATCCTAATGTGCATCACACGTAGCACGGTCATTTATTAGCGCGTTTCCCCCACTGAGCTATACTTAATATATCTGGAGATCGTGCTCCAATACCTCGTCAGTCAAAAATGTGTGGCCAAAAACATGGCGGATTTTGGCCAAATTTACGTCATTTTGACGTCACAATCGACCTAAATTTATGGTGAACACCACTGACCTAAAATGCTAACTTGAAGAAAAAAGTTATTCACACCCCCCTTTCAATTTGCTTAAAACAGAAGGAAGTAAATTCAAAATTTCGGTCGGAAATTTCTATATTGAAACGAGACATTTGCAACTATGCCAACTTTTTGTTCAATTCCTGGTTGCCAAAAATCTGCTGAAAGAAAGGACCTGTCCTCACATGCGTAAGGCTCGTATAATCTCTTTTTTTTTAATAATTTAACGCAATGGGCTATTACATTTAATACCCGTACCCCCCCTGTCGAGGACATCATTTTCCAAGGGGGAAATTAGTCATTTTTTCCAGAGGGGTAATTGGGGAAAATGGAAGAAAAATGCTCTTTCCAGAGGGGTTAAAAAGCAAAAATGCACTTCCAGAGGGGGCTCAAGTCTCTTCCAGAGGGGTCAATTACACAGATTTTTTTGCATTCCAGAGGGGTAAAATCCCCCAAAGCAGAGGTCCTCGACAGGGGGGGTTTGGTTTTTTAATGTAATAGCCCAATGCTGTATTGCTGTATTGAATGCGTAAATTTGTGAATTCATGAAATTTATTGGCAAGCAACATACAATACAATGTTAGTGTACTACAGTGCAAAAGCAGAACAAAATTTTAAAATGTTGACAAGCTTGTGGAGCTGTTGTTGAGCAAGTATTTATTTTCATGCAAGTTGATGGATGTGATGCAGTGATGAAATCTTCGGCCATTGGTATCTCCCTCTAATAAGTATAATGATAAATTACGGTTAATATTCTTTTTTACTTTTTGTGCATTTTTCTTTCTTTTATTTCAAATACAAGTATAGTTAGCATAAATTTTGGAGCGCATTTGGATGCTCTGAATGCAGGAAATGGCATTTCTGTGCTTCAAATTTCAAAAATTTTCTGGGGGAGTACACCCCCCTCATTCATGCGTGCATGGTATGTTCGGCGCACACGTGGTCTTCAGCCATTGCTGTCTCCCTGTAATATATTAGGGAGCTTTAGATTTGACTACGAGTACGAGATTCGTCAAGCTAAACGCATGCTGTATGCTTACGCCATCCCGTACTGACGCTAAAATGTCGTAGCCGTCGCCCATCTGAGTACGAAATTGTGGAGAAACTTCGTAGTCCTCACGACGACTTTTCAAAAAAAAACAAAGAAAGTTGACTTTTTTTTGTTTTCCAAAAATAATTTGTAGCATTTATATAGCGTTTATCCGGCGCAAATAATATATTAGTGCTAAATATCTGGTCTGTTTTTAATGTTATGACTTATTTACACGTTTTGTAGGGGATTTTAGTCGGCAGGGGATTTACTTTATGAAACTTTTTCTCTAGTTGTTGGTTTACTGTTATAAAAGCAACATTTGAATGGAAACGAAAACGACTACGGTAATTTCCTCGCACGCGATCAAATCTCGTACTCGTAGTCGTACTCGTAGTCAAATCTAAAGCTCCCTTTTAT